AACAGCTTTTTAATTCTATTCCTTATATTTGTATGCTGTTATCAGTACTTTACACACCTTATTAAAAAAAATAAATAAACTACCAACTTCTATCTTATTTCAACTAGAATAATTTTGCTACTGTCAAGGCTCAGAGCGGAAGGATCCACTATTTAAGGCGGACAAACAGATTTCTCAAAAAGTTTATTGGAAACAGAACCAGAGTGAGCAGCGTCAGTGTCCAAGGTAGGAATCTCACAGGAGCAGGGGCGGATCTAGAAAAATATTTCTGGGGTGGCGAGAGGGGGGCAGGAATTTTTGAGGGGTGGCAACATATGGCATTTACACTGAATTTAATCACAGTTATCACAGTTTGGTGAGAATAGTATGTACAGTATGTGTTTCATGTGAAACAGTTCATATTAGAAATACATCGTACAATGTGATCTCACTTAATAGGAGATAGAAGAATGATAACACTACTTCTAGAGGGGCATTATCACAGGAAAGGTACTAAGGTAAGACACAGGTGCTGAGTTGCAGATGTGTGAGATTGACTGTCAGAGAGGCAGCTTTGCAGCATTTGCACAGGAAGAAACTATAGAAAGAAAAAGTTACCCATCAGAGATCTATGGACAGAGCTGTACTAAAGTGAGCATTACTACACAGTAGAAATAAATGGGCATTTGTTCCTCAGTAACTTGACATACAGCAGTTAAGGCAACATGAAAGGGACATTTCATGCATGTAGATCTGCTGTAGATAGAGCTGCTGTATCAACAAATAAAAAAAAAGGCAGGTACTGTTTGTTACATCAAAATCTCCACAAATCTGAAAGAAGCAACATAAAAATAAATTTTGCTTCCAGTCTGAAAAAGTACAAAATATTTTGTGAGTAGGTTCATACAGGTCATTTCTGGATAGTTTCATACTATGTATACAAAAAAACAAACACCAACACTGCTTCATATTAAGCAGGATTTACACCAGTATCACATTTTTAACTTTACTTTTAACACTTTTGGTTTTATTAAAGGAAATATCAGATTTTCTCAGGTGCCAAAACAAAACAACAAAACAACTAATCAGTCTCAGTCGCTCTTGCGTCATCTCGTGCTGCATTCACTGCAGTCCGACATTGGAAATTAGCGGTCGCAATTCTCAAATTATCCATGATTTATAAGCCTTGCCACCCCTACTGCCAACTGGGGTGGCAGCAGGGGTGGCAAGGCTGTCATTTAGGGTGGCATTTGCCACCCTATGCCACCCCAGTAGATCCGCCTATGCACAGGAGGATAAACAGGTTAGTGACAATATATTTACAAGTGGATGATAACAAACGTGTGAGTCACTAACCTGGTCTTATAGTTCAATCTGAGCCCAGAGGGTGAGGTTGGTTCCATCTGGTCAGCTGCCAACATGATGCAGCGGTTTCCACTCAGAGAGTCCCAGAGGCTGATGTATTAGAGCAGCAGTCCCCAACCACCGGGCCGCGGACCGGGCCGCACAGAAAAAAGTATATATAATATAATATATATATATATATATATATATATATATATATATATATANGATACCGATACCACCATTTTAGTGCTGGATCGGGGCCCCGTCCGATACTGGTATCGGTGCAACACTAGAAATTAGCGGTCGTAATTCTGAAATTATCCATAGTTTATAAGCCTCGCCGCCCCTTCCGCCAACTGGGGTGGCAGCAGGGGTGGCAAGGCTGTCATTTAGGGTGGCAAATGCCACCCTATGCCACCCCAGTAGATCCGCCTATGCAGATCAGACTCTCAATCCACATGACTTACGTTAAAAAAATTATAGATAAAAGTATGTTTAATGTGGGAGACAATGGGTAAACACATATAAGATAATGTTGCATAAACCTGTCCTTTTTGCCACCATTAAATCTAGATAGGTGCTCTGCTTGCACAGAATTTTTTTTATTATTAATTACTGTCATAATTAATATTAACCAGTCTGGGGTTCCAGTTTACTCTTACCAGCACAGCTGTTACATATAAACAATAATTAATAGACTCTTTCTATAGCCACTTTTAGGAAGAGATAATTCTGTGAATTTATCTATAAGTCTGACATATTACAGCCAGCGCTACGCTCATGCTTCCGGTGTTTGTTCAGATCAGCATACCTATAGTCAATACATGCGTATTGACCATGTGCAAAATAGACTTTAAAGTACCTTGATGGGTGTGTATCCCTTTGGTCATGGACATAAAAAATAAATATATATATATATATATATATATATATATATATATATATATATATATATATATAAGGTCAGATCACCATATTGCTATAAAAAACACCAAAAACTAAGTAATTGAAGTTTTTTGTACATGACTAAAGAGATACACGCCCGTTGAGGTAGTTTAGTCTATTTTTCTTACAAAACTAAAGGGATACACAGGTATTTACTATGGTTATGCTGGTCTGACCCGGTATGCTCGTAAATCTGATCGCTCCACATCAGACTCTGAAGGTGTCACAATACTTACCTTATTTACTCTGGCTAAAATAAACATATTTATCAGAAGCTCCACCTCACACACCAACACCTCTGTTAAACAGAACCTTTTTTTTCTGCTCTCTTGGCTGCAGTTTCATTGGTAACCATTAAATTCCATTAATCAGCTGAATCATTTAAATACATAAATACATTCACGCAGGGCTTTGCATGAACCATTTATGGTAAAATGTGGTTATAAAGAGGTCTTTCAGTATGGAATACCAACCTTTGGTTCCTGAAGGTCTGATCAGGTCACAGGAACCAAAGACCTTCTCTACAGTCATGTTCTACATTTCTGAGGAAAGACCCGAATTCAATTCAGTAATACTTTATTAATCCCAAAGGGAAATTTAGTTTCAATACAGCCCACCCATGGGACGGGGTGTCCAAGGCTTTGCTGCCATGAAAGGTGCTGAACTAAATATTGAAGAATGTAGAATAATGTAGGATATCAGACCAGGAAGCAGTGATGGAGAAGAAATCCAGACTTAAATGGATTCATTCTTCATGAACCCCTTCTTAGGAGAGACCAGGACTGGTTTCTACTCCCATAACAGAGAGGGGATCAGTTTCTTCCATGTAAAGGTTCTGTCCAGCGTTAACTGGAACCATGGGATAACCATCCTGGTTGGACCAGATCAGAGAAATTGTGTTCTACCTTCAGGAACGCGTTTGTGAAGAAGGTCTTTGCTCTCTGGCTTCCTGTCCTCTGTGATTACTGTAATCCAGTCAGAGAACCTTAACTCCTCACCACTGAGAGTCAGACAGGAACAGGTGGCAGCGTCTCCTCCTCCCCTTATTCCTCCTCCTCCTTCTGTTTCTCCTCACAGTCACTCTCTCCCTAATCAGTCCGGCTGCTTTTTCCTCTCCTGCTTTTTGGGATGAAGTTCAGCAAACCACCTCACTCTATGGTGGGCTAAAAGACCCAAAGCTCCGTCTGCCAGGCTACAGAGAAGAGTGGGGCTACGAGGGAAGGATTGGAGGAGGGGGCCACAAGTAGCTGCAGTGGGAATAATGGGAGCTTCCTATGGAAAGAAGGTGAGTGCGAGCTGTTCTAGGTTCTCCGAGACAGTTTTTTGTGTTGGATATAAAACCTGTTAAACATTTTAAAGCTGGTAAGTGATTTTGGTTAAAACAAATATTTACAGCCCGCAGAACTTGAATGAAACACTGAACTTTGGCTCCGCAGGTGGAGCTTAAAACAGAGCAGGAATCTGATTAATAATCCGCCAGTTTGGGCCGTTTACAGGATCAGGAATCTGTGAGGCAGCCTGCTTGAACGGAGCTTATAATCAGGTTATTTCAGCATGAAATCCCCTCCAACCACACTGAAGGGAACAGTCCTGTCCACTTCTAGTTGAATGATATTAAATTTTTTATTAAAAGCTTGATGTTTGGAGGCCTGGAGGACCCAAGCATTAACCAAGAGGGTTATCGATGAGAAAAATGGCTACATTTTCCCATTATTCTCAGTAACATATAAGCTGGAGTATGAGCCTGAGTGTCTTCAGACAAATATATTGAAAGGTCTGAACATTCTTCATCAATGTGACACGTTTAACATGTCAGCATCATTCTGCTCTAGAGTTTGCCTTCTGTTGCAGAACATGCCAACTCTTCTGCTTCAGAACTCCCGATGAATCTATGTGTATTATTCAGGTTGATTATGTTCTCAATATAGAATATTTACTTTACCAAGTCATATCCTCCCTGCAGGAAACATGGGAGACTGAGCTGAATGCTTCCTGCTCTGACATTCTGTCAGAGAACCAGGTGGTTCTGAGGTTCCACAATCACAGCAGAGTGACTTGATGTGCTCTGACATCATGCTGTGTTCAGCATCAGAATCATCAGTATAGGAAGGTGGTCCAACCTCTAGCAGTCTGAACCTGCACCAGCAAAACCACAGAGACCACCGCTTCATCCAGCAGCTCTCTGGTATCAGAAGGAGCTCAGAACCAGACACCAGGAAGATCTGATTTCCACTGTAATGTAAATACAGGAACATCTAGTAAAGCCTGTGTCTCAGATGATTCAACCTCTAAGTGAAGGTCTGAGTCCTCCTAAAAAGCAACTGGTTGCAGCCATGTGGTCCTTGTTGAAATGGTTAAAGTGATAAAAAATCTGATTAAAAACAAAACTCTAGGCTTTGCTGAACTGGGTCTGGTATCTGAAGCTGAGGAAAGACTAAGTGAAATTCCTGAACAGCCTTTAGAATTTCTGCTCCCATCAGAAACCTGAGCACGACCAAATATCTGAGGTATGAGGAGTCACACACCTGTCCAACAGGGCATAGTGGTTTCCATGGGGACAAACAGCTGACAGGAGTACAGACAGAGGTAGGGCAGCTGCAGTACAGGATCACATGGACTCATCTAGATATTTTTAGGTCACTGTTCCCATCAGCTGCTGGAATGTTCCCGAGATGGGGATCAACAAGCAGGAATAACAGACTGAGTGCTCTATACAGCAGCTCTTCCCGCTCAGTTAGTTACAGGTGGCTGCAGGTGTATATTGATGGTGCATTCAGGTAGCATATAGCATAATGGCGGTGTACACTGATAGGAAAAGGATGGTGCATACTGATAGGTAACGGTTCTGTGTAGGCTACATGTGTTGCATACTCATATCTACAGGGGATGTTTACTGATAGCTACATGTGGTGCATACTGATAGCTACAGGTGGTGTATACTGATAGCTACAGGTGGTGTATGCTGATAGCTACAGATGGTGTATACTGATAGCTACATGTGGTGTATACTGATAGCTACAGGTGGTGAATACTGATAGCTACAGGTGGTGTATACTGATAGCTACAGGTGGTGAATACTGATAGCTACAGGTGGTGTATACTGATAGCTACATATGGTGAATACTGATAGCTACAGGTGGTGTATACTGATAGCTACAGATGGTGTATACTGGTAGATACAGGTGGTGTATTCTGATAGGTACCAGATGTGTGTAGGCTACAGGTGTTGTATAATGATAGCTAGATGGTGGTATATAATGATAGCTAGAGATGGTGTATACTGATAGCTACAGATGGTGTATACTGATAGCTACAGGTGGTGTATACTGGTATCTTCATGTGATATATACCAATAGCTACAGGTGGTGCATACTGATAGCTACATGTGGTGTATACTGATAGCTACATGTGGTGAATACTGATAGCTACAGGTTGTGTATACTGATAGCTACATGTGGTGTATACTGATATCTTCATGTGATATATACCAATAGCTACAGGTGGTGCATACTGATAGCTACATGTGGTGTATACTGGTATCTTCATGTGATATATACCAATAGCTACAGGTGGTGCATACTGATAGCTACATGTGGTGTATACTGATATCTTCATGTGATATATACTGATAGCTACAGGTGGTGTATACTGATAGCTACATGTGGTGAATACTGATAGCTACATGTGGTGTATACTGATAGCTACAGGTGGTGTATACTGATAGCTACATGTGGTGAATACTGATAGCTACAGGTGGTGTATACTGATT